ATGGCCGAAAGTCTAAGTCAATTTCGGCCGAAACCGAAGAAAAACCGAAAGTTAACTTTTCTCTTTCGGCCGAAACCGAAATTAAGCCGAAAGTTAACTTTTCAGTTTCGGCCGAAACCGAAACTTGGCCGAAAGTGATAAAATGGCCACTTTCGGCGCCGAAACCGAAGCCGAAGCCGAAATTCGGTCGGTCTCTAGTTTCAAGTCCTTTTCATCTTTTCTTGTGTCCACTGTCTGCCTCCAGGTTCTAATGCCAGGTGCTTTGTCCTGAGAGTCTGCCTCCAGGTCATAATGCCAGGTGTTTTGTCCAGAGAGTCTGCCTCCAGGTCCTGATACCAGGTTTTTGTCCTAAGAGTCTGCCCCCAGGTCCTAATGCCAGGTGTTTTGTCTTGAGAGTTTGCCTTCAGGTCCTAATGCCAGGTGTTTTGTCTTGAGAGTCTGCCTCCAGGTCCTAATACCAGGTGTTTTGTCCTGAGAGTCTGCCTCCAGGTCCTAATGCCAGGTGTTTTGTCCTGAGAGTCAAGTCTTATGGTGTTGGGTCATTGAATCTAAAGGATTTTTTCTAAAGGATTTTTCTAAGGCTTTTGTTGAAAAATGCTTGTATTGGTACTTTGGACGTACAAATTTTCATTTTCTTCTCAATGTAACTTATGACCACAATTGATTGATTTTTCAAACACACTCTGTTTGCAATAAATAGTCAGGTGAAGTTTCAATGACAAGATATTTTTGTGTTCTTAAGAAAACCATTACCCGGTATGAAGATGTTAAAACTGTGTCTCAATTGAAAATGCATTTTGATCTATCAAGTTTTGACCCACTGAAAGCCTTAAGTCCACATCTGTTGATTGTATTGCTTTGAATTTCAAATTGAAAATAAAAATTTATCTTTAACTAGTTATTTTTCGGCTTATAAAATTATGATTCTGTCCAAATTGTGTTTTGACATGAACCACTGTGTCAGATATTTTTTGAAGGCCTACGGTACATTGTTAGCACATATGCCTTATTACCAGGATGTAGGGGATTCAAATTTGTTTGAATTTAGTTCCAGATATAGTCAAACAGCATGGTAGAATGGTCCAACTAGACCGCAAGGCAAAAGAAGAAGAAGAAAACTCCAAGTAAAATAGTTAGCCGTAAATGAGAAGACACCAGGCGAATTGGTGTTTGATTAAATATTAAATATCAGCAGTTCTGTTAACAATTTATCTAGAGACAGAAAAGAAAAAAGAGGGGGGGGGGGGGGGGG